ACTTGACTGAGTGTCCGCTATACTCTTTTCAATATCAAACATTTGGAAGCCAGCACTGCTAGGGCCACACTGCGCTAAGAGTTTATGGTAACTGTAAGGCAGATTGTTTATCCTTGCTCGATGGTTCTTTCCAAAGCACTTGTATTTTTCCACGAAGATGTTATAAGTTGCAAAGTCCTGGTGAAATTGGAGGAAGCACTCTTGCTGGCAAAGCCCAACGTCACATATGCTGCAACTCTTGCGGCGTATCTTGTGGCAGACTTTGCATCTCCTTTGTTTGCTCTTTAAAAGGTCATGACGGTTCCCTTTTGGGTCTACTTTAAACACATTTGAATCCCTTGAACCTAAAGTTACAAACAGATTAGGAATCAGGCCTGTGATTCTTGACTTTTAACACTAAACCACTAACAACTACATCTTTTTTTTGAAATGTGATTCCCATAAAATTTGATGAATTTGGGAAACAATTCAAGACGGGGTCCCGAAAAAAACTTATGTCTTTCGTGATATTAATATTATACTAATTATGTGTGAATTTTGATCGAGCAATCAATAATATTATCAATTCTTATTTTCTACATTTGCAAGATACACATGGCCATAACTGCCCTTGAAACTGAACGATAATGCAGTCAATAACTGAATCAAACAGTTTAGTAAAAAGTAAAGAAGAAGACTTACGCTCTGTAGGTTTTGATGAAAGTGATCTCTTGGATCCAGGGAGGAGAGATATGCTGTTGAGCCTGAATATAATTTTGTCACTTTGGTCTTCTGATACAACCATAAAAAATCATATTTTCACTATAGTACAATAACCTTCAATTAATAGCAGCTCTATCTGGTCTTAATGTGGTATCAAACAGTAGATGCAGTAAAAGTAGCAGTAATATGAAGAAAGTCCACAGTTCTTTTCTTCCGGAGAGGGTGAGACCATATTGGAACAAACTCCCCTCGGATGTCAAGAATTGTGGGACTGTGTTAAGTTTTAAAATAAGATTAGAGGCTTTCAAAAAAGAGACTATTTCAAACGGATCTGTAAATGATAGTCATTTTTCGTATGTTTCGTAAGTATTAGGAAAGATTGAGGGATTAAATTATGCTACTAATAAAGAAAGGCACAATGAATATCTTGTGTGTAATCCTCATGTTGCTAAAAAACGCTTGATCAACTTATATAGTAGTGGAAAATATGTAAATTATATTCATTTTAACTTGGTTGTTTAGGCCAATAGATTTAAGATAATTTTTAAACTTTAGTAGATATATTTTTGATGATGTGTGATGATGTTTGTGTCATTATATTTTGATTTGATTTGATTTATTCTATAATAATGGTTCAGAATATTTAACTAAGATAAATCATATGATTCAGAAAATCGGCTATCTGAGACTGATTTACTCTATTGAACCTATAATCAAGAGATAAAAATACATGCACTGATATACTTACAAATTTTCTGAATTTGCCATAGTTGCGCTCACACTGGTATCAAGTTGAATGTTTGACATGTCCAACATGGAGTAAGGTAACGCAGTAACAGATGGCTTAAAGTTCTGGTCATTTGATAGTTTTACTGATGGACTGATATTTTGATTGCTTAAAGAATCTGTAATAAGGTTTTCTGTTTCCATGGGCAGACTTGAGTTATTGAGTTCACTTGACAATATTGCACTGCTTTTTTGTTCATCAAGCAGAGTATTAGCAACTGATTCTATTTCTTTAGCAAGCTGAAATATTGCATCTTCTTGAGATGACAGAGTCTCTGGTTTACATGGTTGCAGCTCTGGAAGTGATTGAAAAGATGATGGATCTGGCTCTGCTTCAGTGCTGAAAAATATGATATTTGTATAATTTGTTGCTTTTTAAAACCATGGCAATACTATTATGAAGAACATGATGTACAGTTACAACACAAATATGCAAGTTTAAATACAGTTAACCCATCCAACCGCAACCCTTGCCTGCCTGTCCACAAATACACTTTTAAATGAACCAAAAACCTTACAAGTTAATTCACCTCTTCGATATGCTTTCTTCTTGTGACTCACTGTCTTCAGCTGTCTCAGCATCAAGCGTTTCTGTTGCTTGACCTTCACTTTCATAAGAAACAGCTTCAATGACAGGTGTTAACTGGTGAGCTGAAAAATTGTTTTACTTTTGAATATCAGTGGTATCAAAACAGCAAAGCAAGGCCAACACTTTCAATTATAATAACTTTAAAACATTAAAAGTTAGTCAAAATTACTGGCATGCTGATCAAAAAAGGCTTAATGTTAGGAGAATAAAATGTTACCTATTGATAGAACTCTAGAGGCTGTATCCAAAAGAAAAACAATGAATTCATCATCCGATCTTTGATGAAAGTTGAATTCTGATTTTTGCTTCCTGTAAAGATCCAATACTTCTTTCTGTGGAATGATGTAATCTACCATGTCCTGCTGTAGTTTAAAAGGATCATTAGTAATTTAAGTTTACTTTTAACTGACAAAATTATATTATAGTAGAGACCAAAGAATTGTCCATCTAGTATGCAACAAGGATTTATCCTTTAGACAAGGATTTAGATTCTCAAAACAAGAGCTAGAGAAATCAATGAAACTAATAAAATCAATGAAACTAATAAAATCAATGTTTTAGCTCATTTTACAAAGTCAAATATTCAAAACAATTAAAATTGTATAGTGCTCAATTTGTAAATGACTAGTTGATCTTTGCTATTGGAAGTTTGCCAAGGACTGGCAGCTAGCGGGGCAAGGAATGCACGGGCTTAGGGGCTTTTGTGCACACCATGCCAGAACACTAGCTCGGTACATTTTTGGAAACTAGAAGGACTGAAAACTAAAATTGTTTTTGATGGAGGTTGAGGCATGTTTTTGAGAGGGACTGTATAATAGCTTGTGGTAACAACAAGCCTTTACTTTAATAGGATGAAGTTTTGGTTTTAGGACAGGGAGAAGGCATTAAGAAAATTTGCTCTTTGTTAACAAGGCAGAGGATAAGCAATGTTGGTTATAATATGTATCAATATCTAGATCTTCGTTTATCAATTTTCACTAAATATTTTTAAAATTTTAATAGGGAGGGGAATTCATCAACTTTATTAAGTATCTATCAAAAATAAATCTTATCAATGTAATAGTTCAAAAATCATAAATCATAATCCTAAGTTAAAAACACTTTCTCACTACACTGCGCTCACACACGTTAGTAAGGCAAAGGAAAATGCCACCCAGCTAATTTTCAATTTCAAGATAATCATTTTGGATGTGTGGACCCTAGGGTAGACTTGGTGTCAAAATTTAAATTAGAGCATTCGAAATCTTTGTTTGTCCAATCAAGATCAGCATGGTTATGCTGGTTGAAGAGCAGTGATTGCTTCATCCTAGACTTCAGGCAGGCCACACTCAGACAGTAGTCACGTATACCAAGCTTAGGCACAATTACGTTCCAAATACGAGTCGTTCTGCTATTGAAGTTGTCAGGGGGGTCTGCTTGGCTTAGTATAAGGGTGGGTTTCCTACTTGAGCAGGTGAAATTTTCATGGAGGGAAATCGGAGCACGGAATTTCATGATTTTATAGAGCTCAAGGAAACAGTGGTAACTGTACAGGTTTTGGACGGCAAGTATTCCGTGTTCCTTGAACAAAGGTTTGGTGTGCTCTTTCAAGAAAAATTTTTTGTTCAGATTTTGGTTTTTAAACGGTCGAGCACGAGCACAGGTCTTAAATTTATCTAGGTATGCCTCCCTGTCGCCAAACAGTACCCTGAGACAATATTTTTGCGCTTTGAATACAGAACTTATACGAGTGTTGGCTGCCCCACCCCAAACCGTGATACAATAGGAGAGGTGTGATTCAAATAGACTGTAATACAACTGGCGGTGTAAGAAATCTGGGAGGGAGCAGCGTAGGCGGCAGAGAGTTGATGTTGCATGGCTGAGAGAATGCCTAAGTGATTTTATGTGTTCTTCCCAGGTCCGGTCAGCTTTTCGTCGATGACGACTCCCAGAAACTTAGCAGATGCAACTTGTTTTATTGGAAAGTTATCAATGGTTAGGGTATTATATTCAGAATTATTGTCAGTCTGGGAGGACGATGCTGGTTTAAAGTGAATGAAACAGCATTTAGACATGTTGACATGGAGTTTGTTTGCTCGCATGTAGGAAGATAAACTAGCTAAAAGAGAATTACCACGCATATGTGCCTCCTTTTTAGATTTCCCAGTCACAAATATATTGGTGTCATCAGCGAAGGTGACAAATGATCCCAGACTGGAGCAGTTGGCGATATCATTCATATATAGGAGAAATAAGAGAGGTCCGAGAATCCAACCCTGGGGGACTCCAAACTGTATTTTCAAGGCGTCAGATTTCTCACCAACCACTTCAGTATATTGTGATCTATTTGTTAAGTAACTTTTTATAAGATTATTTGCCACCCCACGTATCCCATAGCCCTGTAATTTTACAAGTAATGTACCATGATCTATTGTATCAAAAGCTTTGCTAAGGTCTATGAATATGCCTAAGACATGATGCTTAAGTTTTAGAGATTCAGTTATAAGGTTTACTGAGTAATTAACTGCATGTGAAGTAGAGTGTGACTGCCTGGGTGTCTTCCACGAACAGTTTATGGTGTACTTAAGAATGACTTAAGTACAAATTTAAGTACAACCCTTCGTTTGTCGTCCACGAACTGAGTCTTAAGTACAAATTTTTACTTAAGTCGCATGATTTAAGTTCCTACTTAAATATTTAAGTACGACTTTGGGAGTTAAACTTAGCGTGCACTTAAAGTTGCGTTAGCCTCCATATAATATGGTGCGTGTTGGAAGCGTAATTGTAATCGATACTTACTTAAGCCCCAAATTAACTTAAGAGTGGACTTAAATCAGGGAGATTTAAGTAAAAAGTTAAGACCAGTCCAAACCTCACTTAAGCTGTACTTAAGTCGAACTTAAATGTAAAATCGGATTTTGTGATAACTAAAAATAGTGATTGAGGAACAGTAAACAGTTTCGAGGGTTTTAAAAACATATAAACCGTAAATTTGGAGTGTTTTTCAATAAGCTGAAGGTCTTAGTAACAGTTATCTTCAGTCAATATTTACATGAACGAATCAATGACACATGTTCTAGCTTCCTGTCCCAATTTCAGGGCCCCTTTTTCACTGATGTCCTCGCGATGTCTGTATCTACAGGGTAGTCCATATTCCTAGATCTGCAGTAATTATGCAGGACCATACAACTAACTATTATATTACATGCGGTGTCTTCCTGATATAATATTGCACCACCTGTCTTCTTGCAGAGACACCTAAACCTCGATTTCAGGACACCAATGGCCCTTTCTACAGTGAAGATTCTTCACTTTTTGTGTGCAACGTTGTACCGTTTCTCTTTCGGAGTGAGATTTTCTTCAAGCAGTGGAACCATCATGATTTCTCGCTGGCCGTACCCCGAATCACCATGAAGCTAACCCTTATAGTTTGGCCCTTGGCTCTTGACAAAATCTTCGACCAAGGTCGTACCCCGAATCACCAAGAAGCTAACCCTTATAGTTTGGCCCTTGGCTCTTGACAAAATCTTCGACCAAGGTCTTAACCCCACTTAATTTCCAAATGGTTGAATCATGGATACTACCGGGCCAACGCACAACAGAGTCCAGAAATCGCTCATTGATATCACATATAACCTGACAGTTGATAGCATGTCCCTCTTCCAAATAACTGGAAATGACATAATCAATAATACTAATAGAATCTGCCTGGGTGTGCTCAATTTGGTTCCTACTTGCTATCACACCATTGGTTAGTGTGACCTGCGTTACCTCATTCACGTGACAGTTAAGTACTCTGCATGATACCCGTTCATGGACGACAGGTTTGTTCTAAATTTGTGTTTGCTTAAGTGTCTCTAGTTTCGTGGACAGCAGAAATTGTCGTACTTAAGCTAAGTGCGAACTTAGCTTAAGTTCAAAAAAGTTAAGTACAAGTTTCGTGGAGGAGGCCCTGAAGCCAAATTGTGATTTAGATATTATACCCTGTGAGCTTACAAACGAATATATTCTTGAGTAAATGATCTTTTCAAAGATTTTACCAAATATAGAGAGAGTAGAGATTGGGCGGTAGTTTTCTATCTCTTCAGGGTTTCCCTTCTTAAATACAGGTCTTTAGAACGTCGGGGAACGTGCCATTGGACATTAAGATGTTGATGTATCGACTAAGGATTGGTGTAATTACGTGAGATGATCTTTTGATTACACTAACAGGAATATCACTTGCTTTTCCATTTTCAAATCCTTTTATTATTTCCATTATCTCATTAGGTGTACAGTCTTCTAACATAATCGATTTTTCATTTTTCTTTCCAAGGAAATCATAGAATGTTTTTATAGGGAGAATTGGTAAACCAGAGGCCTCACTGCTACAAAGTGTTTCATTGAGCTTAGGGGCAATAGAAACAAAGTAAGAGTTGAATCCATTGGCTATGACTCTACGATTCATGATTCGTTCGTTGTTTATGATAAAGGGAGGCTTAGTTTGCTTCTTTTTCTTGCCCCTGAGCTCATTGATTATCTGCCACGTTTTTTTGCTGTTTTCTATATTTTTATAGATTTCATTGCAGTAGTACGATCGTTTGGCGACCTTGATAATACTTTTAAGCATTCTTCGGTAGTCACTGAAGACTTTATAGAGCAGTACATTACCCTCAGGGTTTCTATTTGTTACAGTGCTTGACCAGTCTCTACAGAGTTCATGTTTTCTTTCAACTGAGACAATGATTCCATTGGTAATCCACGGGTTGAGTTTGGGAGTCCTTTTGGTAACTTTTGGCTCATCAAGCTTACAGTGTTTATCAAGTGTTTCATTGAAGCAGTCCAAAAACTCATTGAAGTTTACCGAAGGAGTTAAGTCATTCACCTTCACCTCGAGTTCATTAACAAAATTAGTGAGTTTGGACCTTGAATAATCATAGTAGCGAACATGTTTAAGTTTTTCAGTACTGTTTTCGGTAGGAATTGACGTGAAGGTGAATATAAAGGCATGGTCACCAATCCTATCATTCAATACACCGGAGAGAAGTACATGATCTATCTCTGATGTGAGGATATTGTCAATACATGAGTTTTTACAGTTAGGACGGAAGTGGGTAGCAAGTGATATAGTAGGATACATATTGTTACGAAGTAACGTGTCCTCAAATAGCTGGCTGGAGGTTTGTACATTGAGGAGGTTAGAGTTAAAATCGCCAAGAATATGGAACTTTTTACCAGACAACTGCTTAGATATATCCTCAAGAGTTTGACAAAAGGACAAAAGGACGATAAGCAACCCCATATGTCAGTTTGTCACCCGAGCTAAGAGTAATTTCAACAAATAAGCACTCAATATCTTTAGTGCAGTGAGATAGATTTTCGATTACTACAGCATTCAGGCGATCAGAGACATATAAGGATACTCCTGTTCCTTTTTTCTTATCAGGGAATGGTACTTGACAAAA